GAGCAGGTTTTCATTAAGGATCTCTCTGTACTTAGCTCTGTTCATCTTTGCCTCGATCCTGACTAGTCTCTCAGTCCCTGCTGCTGAAAAACATCCCCACAGCATAATGCTGCCACCACCATGCTTCATCGTAGGGATGGTGTCAGGTTTCTTCCAGACGTGACGCTTGGCATTCAGGCCAATCTTGGTTTCATTAGACCAGAGAATCTTGTTTCTCATTGTCTGAGAGTCTTTAGGTGCCTTTTGGCAAGCTCCAAGCGGGCTGTCATGTGCCTTTTACTGAGGAGTGGCTTCAGTCTGGTAACTCTACCTTAAAGGCCTGATTGGTGGAGTGCTGCAGAGATGGTTGTCCTTCTGGAAGGTTCTCCCATCTCCACAGAGGAACTCTAGAGCTCTGTCAGAGTGACCGTTGGGTTCTTGGTCACCTCCCTGACCAAGACCCTTCTCCCCCGATTGCTCAGTTTGGTCGGGCGGCCAGCTCTAGGAAGAGTGTTGGTGGTTCCAAACTTCTTCCATTTAAGAATGATGGAGGCCACTGTGTTTTTGGGGACCTTCAATGCTGCAGGCATTTTTTGGTACCCTTCCCCAGATCTGTGCCTCAACACAATCCTGTCTCGGATCTCTACGGACAATTCCTTCGAACTCATGACATTGTTTTTTCTCTGACATGACCTGTCAACTGTGGGACCTTATATAGACAGGTGTGTGCCTTTCCAAATCATGTCCAATCAATAGAATTTACCACAGGTGGACTCCAATCAAGTTGTAGAAACATCTCAAGGATGATCAATGGAAACAGGATGCACCTGAGCTCAATTTCGAGTCTCATAGCAAAGGGTCTGAATACTATATAATATTTTTTATATATTTGCAACCCTTTTTTCGCTTTGTCATTATGGGGTATTGTGTGTAGATTGCTGATTATTTCTATTTATTTAATCAATTTTAGAATAAGGCTGTAACGTAACAAAATGTGGAAAAGGTCAAGGGGTCTGAATACTTTCCGAAGGCACTGTAGGTACCATTGACTTGCATTGGATTTGTGCCACAAATGCTAAAAAGTTAGCATTTGAAACAGTGGCCAACAAAACCAAAGCTGTCATACCTTGTCAATAGACTGCTTACATGTTAAGGAAACCAATGTCATTTTTACAAATTTGGGTGAACTATCCTTTTTGGGCGGCAGGTAGCTTAGTGGTTAAGAGCGTTGTGCCAGTAACCGAAAGGTTGCTGGTTCTAATCCCCGAGCTGACTAGGTGAAAAATCTGCCCACGTGCCCTTGAGCGTCTGCTAAATTACTCAAATGTAAATGTAAACATTGGGGTTGGGGATCTTCAAACCTTTTTCAACTAATAGCAGGAACAGCACCATCTAGTGGTCAGAACCTGGTAATATCAGAATGTAGGATGGGACATAAACCTTAAAATGATTAATTTCCCTAAACAGGGAAATAACCATCACCAAATTCACTAGGAATACATTACATAGGATTAAGAAAGGATGCCCGAGCTGCAGCTCCATACCACTTGTCAGACACAGAGAGCTGACACTATATACTTGTTGTTGGGGTGGGATTGGTGTGGGGGGTCCATCAAATCTATTGTTAGTAAAAAGTTTGGTCCAAATTGTCACGGTTTCGGCCGAGGCAGCTCCTCTTCCTTGTTCGGGCAGGCTTCGGCGGTCGTCGTCTCTAAATGTGAATCATCCAGTTGGTCCTCTGTAGCTCAGCTGGTAGAGCACGGCGCTTGTAACGCCAAGGTAGTGGGTTCGATCCCCGGGACCACCCATACACAAAAAAATGTATGCACGCATGACTGTACGTCGCTTTGGATAAAAGCGTCTGCTAAATGGCATATTATAACAAGTATTTGATACACAGACGATTTTGCAGGTTTCCTACTTACAAAGCATGTAGAGGTCTGTAATTTGCATCATAGGTACACTTCAACTGTGAGAGACGGAATTTAAAACAAAAATCCAGAAAATCACATTGTATAATTTTTAAGTAATTCATTTGCATTTTATTGCATGACATAAGTATTTGATCACCTACCAACCAGTAAGAATTCCAGCTCTCACAGACCTGTTAGTTTTTCTTTAAGAAGCCCTCCTGTCCTCCACTCATTACCTGTATTAAAACTTGTTACCTGTATAAAAGACACCTGTCCTCACACTCAATCAAACAGACTCCAACCTCTCCACAATGGCCAAGACCAGAGAGCTGTGTAAGGACATCAGGGATAAAATTGTAGACCTGCACAAGGCTGGGATGGGCTACAGGACAATAGGCAAGCAGCTTGGTGAGAGCTTGTAGGAAAACCTGCAAAATCGGCAGTGTATCAAATACTTGTTCTCCCCACTGTACATGTTTATTTGGTTTGTCATTCTATAATTTTTCATGGCATTTTGGTGCTAATTAAATATTGTTTATTTTGAATTTATCAAAAATAATTTTCTAGAAATGGTTATACCAGATCTGTGTATTCTCAAATTTAAACAAGTGAGGGAGCACCATTCCTCCATGCTCCGGCAGCACTTAACCCTTATTGTTAGCCTGGTTAGCACAGTTTTGGCTCAGTTCAACCTAGCGGTTAAGAGCATTGGTTCAGTAACCGAAAGGTTGCTGGTTCGAATCCCAGAGCTGACTAGGTGAAGAAAAAAAATCTCTCTGGATAACAGCATCTGCTAAATGACTAAAATATTACATGTAAATATGTATTTACAGCCAAAACAGCCTCCATGTCCAGTTGAAGTGCCTGCAGGAGCCCCTTTAGTGTACAGTGTGAAGGGCAGACCGTAATTCATCCATGACCTTAACATTTATTAGAGTGGATAAAAAAAGATCAGCATTCAGGTGGCTGGTGCCAGAAGGAACAGATAAGGTCTTGTGGTTTGTACTTGAATCAGAAGATCCTTGGAGGGTCACCAGTGTGTGAAATGAAAGACTTGTTGAGGCTCTCAGCAACACCACATATCAAACAGTCAGTCAGATTCCAAGAAATTCAACTACAGTGGGGTAAAAACGTTTTTAGTCAGCCACCAATTGTGCAAGTTCTCCCACTTAAAAAGATGAGAGAGGCCTGTAATTTTCATCATAGGTACACGTCAACTATGACAGACAAAATGAGATTTTTTTTCTCCAGAAAATCACATTGTAGGATTTGTAATTAATTAATTAGCAAATTATGGTGGAAAATAAGTATTTGGTCAATAACAAAAGTTTCTCAATACTTTGTTATATACCCTTTGTTGGCAATGACACAGGTCAAACGCTTTCTGTAAGTCTTTCTATAACGTTTCAAAATCTCACGATACATGGCCCCGTTCATTCTTTCCTTTACACGGATCAGTCGTCCTGGTCCCTTTGCAGAAAAACAGCCCCAAGGCATGATGTTTCCACCCCCATGCTTCCCAGTAGGTATGGTGTTCTTTGGATGCAACTCAGCATTCTTTGTCCTCCAAACACGACGAGTTGAGTTTTTACCAAAAAGTTCTATATTGGTTTCATCTGACCATATGACATTCTCCCAATCCTCTTCTGGATCATCCAAATGCACTCTAGCAAACTTCAGATGGGCCTGGACATGTACTGGCTTAGGCAGGGGGACACGTCTTGCACTGCAGGATTTGAGTCCCTGGCGGCATAGTGTGTTACTGATGGTAGGCTTTGTTACTTTGGTCTCAGCTCTCTGCAGGTCATTCACTAGGTCCCCCCGTGTGGTTCTGGGATTTTTGCTCACCGTTCTTGTGATCATTTTGACCCCACGGGGTGAGATCTTGCGTGGAGCCCCAGATCGAGGGAGATTATCAGTGGTCTTCCATTTCCGAATAATTGCTCCCACAGTTGATTTCTTCAAACCAAGCTGCTTACCTATTGCAGATTCAGTCTTCCCAGCATGGTGCAGGTCTACAATTTTGTTTCTGGTGTCCTTTGACAGCTCTTTGGTCTTGGCCATAGTGGAGTTTGGAGTGTGACTGTTTGAGGTTGTGGACAGGTGTCTTTTATACTGATAACAAGTTCAAACAGGTGCCATTAATACAGGTAACAAGTGGAGGACAGAGGGGCCTCTTAAAGAAGAAGTTACAGGTCTGTGAGAGCCAGAAATCTTGCTTGTTTGTAGGTGACCAAATACTTATTTTCCACCATAATTTGCAAATAAATTCATCAAAAATCCTACAATGTGATTTTCTGGAATTTTTTTTCTCATTTTGTCTGTCATAGTTGACGTGTACCTATGATGAAAATTACAGGCCTCTCTCATCTTTTTAAGTGGGAGAACTTGCACAATTGGTGGCTGACTAAATACTTTTTTCCCCCACTGTATAAGGATGAACATTTTCAACGGCAGGAAGAGACACAAGGTGACATTAAAAGTTATTGCTAGCAAGCAGATTTTTGTGATTTCAGCGATGCCTTACTACCAAGTAGTGATCAGCGTGTGTGTACTGTTACCCCCTTGACTTGAAAATGAATCTAATTTGTACAGTAGTCGTACCTCTTATGACTTCCATGTATCAACTACTACGTACAGTATGTGGAGAGCATAGGCCTTCAATTTGCATCTAAATACTCCAGCGAGGTGCTTTGAAGTTACCAGCAGAATACAATACAAAGATGTGGTGAGCATCTGTGGGCTGTAAACATATAATCTGCATACTGTAATTGGTAGCTCTGGGGGTCCTTTCTTCTTAACTGAGACAAATGCTTTAAATCTTATTTGGAAGATTCTGTTCATCATATGAATCTCCAGTGCATCATATTCCTCTCTGTGGGGTCTCCTAAAACAACCATTACTGTCAATAACAACAATACAGTAAAGCACTTGGATGTTACCTCAGGAAGCCTGTGGTTTGGTAAAACATGTTTGAGCATCTTGCTATTTACTCTTGCTTTTGTTTAGTCTGGGTAAATCACATTCACAATGAAGAAGAATAGATAAAAGAGACCAGTAGACTCAACAACAGAACATCTGTTTCTGTCCTGTTGGCTATTATTCACCATGACACATGAGGTAGTGGTAATGAACAGCTCTGGACCAGTGTTGGAACTGGTCACGGAACGCTCCTGTCTAAAGACAAAGAGAGGCTTGTTACACATCAAAGATTCCCACGTCACCAGCTGTCACTCAGGGTTTCTGTGGCCAAAGGTAGTGGAAAGACAGACCTCTGAACCTACGTGGAGGGAAGGAGTGGTAAGAGGGGTGGATGGTGAGAGGGATGGTGTGTGGGAAAGAGTGGGAAGAGTGACTGATGGAAGGAGGGAGTGGTCAAAACTCAGACACCGTCCTCCATGTTATTGCCCAAGTCTGAGTGTAAATTATACAGTCAATGGGACCCTCCCGATCCACAGAGCTCTTTCTGGCTCAGATGTGCGTCTCTTCCAATAAGCAGGAGGGTCATGCCTCTCAGAGAAGCATAATTACATTCTCCTTTATCTTCTTACTAAAGAGGAAAACCTTTTATTGTGGCCCTTATTACCCAGTCCTCTTGGCGTCCTTGAACCATGCCACAGAATTGATGAGCTGAGATCCCAATATTGCATAGCGGTGCTCTCTTGCACAGCATGGTTCTTAAGAGAATGAACAGAGAATCATTAGGCCATTGTTGTTGATGCTGTTGTTTCTTCACAGGAGCATTGCTCAGAGACCAGAGGGGCTGATATCAGAGGCAGCGCCACCAAAACTCCATAATGTACAAGGACAACAGATCAGGCTGATCAGCATGTAAGACCTTTGTGTGTTTGCATGTGTGTGTGTGTGTGCTCTTGTGTGTGTGTGTGTCTGTGCAGCAGTTTGCGTGTGGAAAGAGGGTTTTCGAGGGGTACATAAATACCACAGCCCCGGAGGCGTTCTCAGGAGGAGTGTCCAGATTACACGGCACAAAAGGGGATTTACTGTCAAGATTTCTGTACCACACCTGATAAGACTGTCTTTGTCCCCTGGAGGAGGTGTTTCCTTCTATCCAGTAGAGCCTCCTATTTTCTGACCAACCCCCCCTGGAGCAACCACTTCTATTACACTGGCACGACACCATCTCAGGGGCTTCCATCTTATCTCTTATCTTTTGTGTTTTCCGTGTTTCATTTCGTTTCATTGTGTGCAGGCGGTGGTGCTCTCTATTTGTTTTGGCAGTCAAGGTTTCAAGCAGCATTCAGCTCATCCAAGCTTACAGGGATAGGTGACTCAGACAGCACTCAGACATGGATATTAGAAACACACAGACACCTCTCCACTATTACTCAAACTCCGCTGGAAAGCGAAGGCTTATTTCCTCTGGCAAAGGCAGATATGCAAACATATGAAATGGCGCTCTACTGTTTTAGGGCAAGAAAAAAAATGTGAAGTACAAAATGTGGGATGTGAAATATAAATATATATTATTACTTCACCTACAGGTTTGCAAAGGTGAGTGACAATGTAATATTACAAGGTCTTTGACATCTGGGCTTACATTCAAGTGTTCCAACATTTCACTAAAGCTGAGGCAGTTGACACGCAATCAGAATAATCATTGGCTTTTATTTCAGACACTCTCAGAGGCGTGGGCACAGGAGAGGGAGAGAGAGAGCGAAAAAGTGAGGGATTACAACTAGGATGGAAAATGGAGTGGTGTGAGATGGGGAGGGACAGCATGAGGGAGAGAGAATGAAAGCGTCTCGTCTCTCGCCGGGCTTTGGCAGATGAGTGTGTCCAGTCCTATTACAGTCACACAGTGTGGTTCTCAGGCTGGTCAGGTGATAATGAATGTCTGGTGTCTGGCCTCTCTCTCTCTCTGTCCTCCCCCATCCTCTCTATCCCTCTATCTGGCCTCAAAAGGCTCTGTGTCTTTGGCCTCTGGTGATGTCCCCTTTCGCCTCACTCTCACTCTCTTTCTCTCTCCGTCCTCTACACTCTGTATTTGGCCTCTCAGCCTGCAGCAGTCTACAGTTTGGTGTCTGCTCTTGTTCTATTTCCCACTCCCACTCTCATCCTCTATCCCTCTTTCTCTCTCCTTTCTGTCCTCTCTCTACAGCATTATTGTAGTCTATCAGCCTGTAGTAGCATGAAGCATCCGGCTTACTCTGTCTGTGTTGTAATATATCTCCCCTCGGCACTGCTACTCTCTCTGAGATATACTTCATCTCTAAAAGGCCTCTGTATCAGTTGTCAGTTGTGTTGGTTCCATCTTGTTAAAGCCTCAGGGCCTGTAACCTGACGACCTCTGAGGGTGTTTCTGCTACCTGCCAAGGCCACATTGAGCAGCTTCTGTCATTTCGATCTGGCCTTGAGTCTGATTCACCAAGCTTGTCAGACCTTTGTTTATGGTGAATAGGGTCCAGTGTGTCTGATGCTCATCTGGGCAGATGGCACATTTGGTGCCAGGATCACAGCTAGCTGCACATCTCAGCTGCCAAAACTCAGAATACTTACTTGCACTGATGGGCCACTTGTGATTGTGTAATAGTCTAGAGGACTTGCCACACTTCAGTCGGCATTGCTGTGTTGAGCAAACACTAGACAATATTACTCCAGTGCTAGCCTCTGTACATTGGCTTCTTGTTAAGGCTAGGGCTGATTTCAAGGTTTTACTGCTAAACTACAAAACATTACATTGGCTTGCTCCTACTTATCTCTCCAATTTGGTCCTACCGTACAGACCTACACGTACGCTACGGTCACAAGACGCAGGCCTCCTTATTGTCCAAATAATTTCTAAGCAAACAGCTGGAGGCAGGGCTTTCTCCTATAGAGCTCCATTTTTATTGAATGGTCTGCCTACCCATGTAAGAGACGCAGACTCGGTCTCGACCTTTAAATCTTTACTGAAGATTCATCTCTTCAGTAGGTCCTATAATTGAGTATAGTCTGGCCCAGGGGTGCGAAGATGAACGGCAAGGCACTGGAGCGACGAACTGCCATTTCTGTCTCTGCCTGGCCAGCTCCCCTCTCTCCACTGGGATTCTCTGCCTCTGACCCTATTACAGGGGCTGAGTCACCACACGCTTATGGCTGCTCTTCCATGCCGTCCCTATGAGGGGTGCGTCACTTGAGTGGGTTGAGTCACAGATGTGATCTTCCTGTCCGGTTTTGCGCCCCCTCAGGCTCGTGTGGTGGAGGAGATCTTCATGGGCTATACTCAGCCTTGTCTTAAGGTAGTAAGTTGGTGGTCTGTTGATATCCCTCTATTGGTGTGGGGGCTGTGCTTTGGCAATGTGGGTGGGGTTATATCCTTCCTGGTTGGCCCTGTCCGGGGGTATCGTCGGATGGGGCCACAGTGTCCCCCAACCCACCCCTGTCTCAGTCTCCAGTATCTATGCTGCAATAGTCTATGTGACGGGGGGCTAAGGTCAGTCTGTTATATCTGGTGTAATTCTCCTGTCTTATCTGGTGTCCTGTGTGAATTTAAGTATGCTCCCTCTAACTCTCTCTCTCTCTCCTTCTCTCCCTCCCCTCCCGGAGGACCTGAGCCCTAGAATCAGGACTTCCTGGCCTGATGACTCCTGGCTGTCCCCAGTACACCTGGTCGTGCTGCTGCTCCAGTTTCAACTGTTCTGCCCGCCCCTGACCTGTTCACCGGACATGCTACCTTGTCCCAGACCTGCTGTTTTTGACTCTCACTCTCTCTGTACCGCACCTGCTGTCTCGACCTATGAATGCTCGGCTTTGAAAAGCCAACTGACATTTACTCCTGAGGTACTGACATGTTGCACCCTCGACAACCACTGTGATTATTATTTGCCCCTGCTGGTAATCTATGAACGTTTGATCATCTTGAAGAACAATCTGGCCTTAAATGGCCATGTACTCTTATAATCTCCATCCAGCACAGCCAGAAGAGGACTGGCCACTCCTCAGAACCTTGGTACCTCTCTAGGTTTCTTCTTGGTTCCTGCCATTCTAGGGAGATTTTCCTAGCCACGGTGCTTCCACATCTGCATTGCTTGCTGTTTGGGGTTTTAGGCTGGGTTTCTGTATAGCACTTTATGACATCTGCTGATGTAAAAAGGGCTTTATGAATGAATTGTATTGATATATATAAGGTCCCACAGTTGACAGTGCATGTCAGAGAAAAAAACAAGCCATGAGGTCGAAGGAATTGTCTGTAGAGCTCAGAGACAGGATTGTGTCGAGGCAAAGATATGGGGAAGGGTACCAAAACATTTCTGCAGCATTGAAGGTCCCCAAGAACACAGTGGTCTCCATCATTTTTAAATGGAAGAAGTTTGGAACCATCAAGACTCTTCCTAGAGCTTGGCCGGCCGGCCAAACTGAGCAATCGGGGGAGCAGGGCCTTGGTCAGGGTGGTGACCAAGAACCCGGTGGTCACTCTGACAGAGCTCCAGAATTCCTCTGTGGAGATGGGAGAACCTTCCAGAAGGACAACCATCACTGCAGCACTCCACCAGTATGGTGGTGGCATCATCATGCTATGGGGATGTTTTTCAGCAGCTGCCTCTGGGAGACTAGTCAGGATCAAGGGAAAGATGAACGGAGCAAAGTACAGAGAGTTCCTTGATGAAAACCTGCTCCAGAGCGTTAAGGACCTCAGACTAGGGCGAAGCTTCACCTTCCAACAGGACAATGACCCTAAGCACATAGCCAAGAGAACGCAGGAGTGGCTTTGGGACAAGTCTCAGAATGTCCTTGAGTGGCCCAGCCAGAGCCCGATCGAACATCTCTGGAGAGACCTGAAAATAGCTGTGCAGCGACGATCCCCATCAAACCTGACAGAGCTTGAGAGGATCTGCAGAGAAGAATGGGAGAAACTACACAATACAGGTGTGCCAAGCTTGTAGCGTCATACCCAAGAAGACACGAGACTGTAATCGCTGCCAAAGGTGCTTCAAAAAAGTACTTCAAAAAAGTACTGAGTAAAGGGTCTGAATACTTATGTAATTGTGATACTTCCTTCTTTTTTTTTTTTTTTTTTACAAATAAATAAAGTTTTTTTGCTTTGTTATTATGGGGTTTTGTGTATAGATTTATGAGGATTTTTTTTTTTGTTGAATCCATTTGATAATAAGGCTGTAACTTAACAACATTTGGAAAAAGTCAAGGTGTCTGAATACTTTCCGAATGCGCTGTAAATGTGTTTTATTGTCATATACACCAAATAGGTGCAGTGAAATTGGTTGTTTTACAGGGTCAGCCATTGTAGTAAGGTGCCCCTGGAGCAAATTAGGGTTAAGTGCCTTGCTCATGGGCACATGGACAGATTTTCACCTTATCGGCTCAGGTATTTGAATCAGCGACCTTTCGGTTACTGGCCCGCTAAGCTACCTGCTTAAAAAAAAGGGGCTTTCTCCTTGAAGAAACTTACTGGAGAAATACTAAAAGTGCAAACTTTCCATAACCTGTACGTAGGTAGGACTGAGTTCTAAACGAAGAGTTTCCGAGCTTCTGTTCTTTTCTATTATAGTGTTAGACTTTCACAATGCAATTCAGGGTAACAGATTATTTTGTTGCACATAGAAAAGAGTCATGAGTGCATTCAGGTGCGTGTGCCGCGGCAACCTTTCTTCACAATAGACATACATATGCTCATTCTGTTCAGAACAGCCTAGGGTATGACGCAATGTGAAATCAAATCAAATTTCATTTGTCACATGTGCCGAATACAACAGGTGTAGACCTTACCATGAAATGCTTACTAAAGAGCCCTTAACCAACAATGCAGTTGAAGAAATAGAGTTAAGAAAATATTTACTAAATAAACTAAAGTATTCACAATAAAATAACAATAGCGAGGCTATATACAGGTGGTACCGGTACCGAGTCAATATGCGGGGGTACAGGTTAGTCGAGGTATTTTTTTGGGGGGGGGGGGGGGGGGGGGTCAATGTAAATAGTCCGGGTGGCCATTTGATGAATTGTTCAGCAGTCTTATGGCTTGGGGGTAGAAGCTGTTAAGGAGACTTTTGGACCTAGACTTGGTGCTCCGGTACCGCTTGCCGTGCGGTAGCAGAGAGAACAGTCTATGACTGGAGTCTTTGACAATGGCAGTTGCCATACCAGGATGTGATGCAACTGGTCAGGATACTCTCGATGGTGCAGCTGTAGAGCTTTTTGAGGATCTGGGGACCCATGACAAATATTTTCAGTCGATGTGAATGGGGGCGAGTTCGGCCCTCCTTTTCCCGTAGTCCACGATCAGCTCCATTGTCTTGCTCACGTTGAGGGAGAGGTTATTGTCCTGGCACCACACTGCCAGGTCTCTGACATCCTCCCTATAGGTTGTCTCATCGTTGTCGGTGATCGTCAGCAACCTTAATGATGGTGTTGGAGTCGTGCTTGGCCACGCAGTCATGGGTGAACAGGGAGTACAAAAGAGAACTAAGCACGCACCCCTGAGGAAGTCCAGGATCCAGTTGAAGAGGGAGGTGTTTAGTCCCAGGGTCCTTAGCTTAGTGATGAGCTTTGTGGGCACTATGGTGTTGAACGCTGAGCTGTAGTCAATGAACAGTATTCTCACATAGGTGTGCGAATGAGATTGTGTCATCTGTGGATCTGTTGGGGCGGTATACGAATTGGAGTGGGTCTAGAGTTTCTGGGATGATGGTGTTGATATGAGCCATGACAAGCCTTTCAAAGCACTTCATGGCTACCGACGTGAGTTCTACGGGGCAGTAGTGATTTACATTTTAGTCATTTAGCAGACGCCCTTATCCAGAGCGACTTACAGTTAGTGAATACATTTTTTTTATTTTTTATACTGGCCCCCCGTGGGAATCGAACCCACAACCCTGGCGTTGCAAACGCCATGCTCTATCAACTGAGCTACATCCTGCCGGCCATTCCCTCCCCTACCCTGGACGACGCTGGGCCAATTGTGCGCCGTCCATGAGTCTCCCGGTCGCGGCCGGCTGCGACAGAGCCTGGATTCGAACCAGGATCTCTAGTGGCACAGTTAGCACTGCGAAGCAGTGCCTTAGACCACTGCGCCACTCAGGAGACTACATGCTTTAGGCAGGTTACCTTCACTTTCTTGGGCACAGGGACTATGGTGGTCTGCTTGAAATATGTAGGTATAACAGACTCAGTCAGGGAGAGGTTGAAAACGTCAGTGAAGACACTTGCCAGTTGGTCTGCGCATGCTCTGAGGACACCATCTGGTAATCCATCTGGCCCCATGGCCTTGTGACTGTTGACCTGTTTAATGGTCTTGCTCACATCGGCTACGGAGAGCGTGCTCAGACAGTCGTCCGGAACACATGGTGCTCTCGTGCATGCTTCAGTGTTGCTTGCCTTGAAGCAAGCATAAAAGGCATTTTGCTTGTCTGGTAGGCTTGTGTCACTGGGCTGCTCGGGGCAGGGTTTCCCTTTGTAGTCCGTAACATGATTCCATATGTATTATTTCATAGTTTTGACGTCTTCACTGTTATTCTACAATGTAGAAAATAGTAAAAATAAAGAAAAACCCTTGAATGAGTAGGTGTTCTAAAACTTTTGACTGGTAGTGTATATACAAAGGTATGTGGACACCCATTCAAATTAGTGGATTCGGCTATTTTAGCCACACCCATTGCTGACAGGTGTATAAAATCGAGCACACAGCCATGCAATCTCCATAGACAAACATTGGCAGTAGAATGGCCTTACTGAAGAGCTCAGTAACGTTCAACATGGCACCGTCATAGGATGCCAGCTTTCCAACAAGTCAGTTTGTTGAATTTCTGCCCTGCTAGAGCTGCTAGAACTGTAAGTGTTGTTATTGTGAAGCGGAAAGGTTTCAGAGTAACAGCGGAAAAGTGGTAGGCCACACAAGCTCACAGAACGGGACCACTGAGTGCTGAAGCATGTAAAAAACGTCTGTCCTCGGTTGCAACACTCACTACCGAGTTCCAAACTGCCTCTGGAAGCAACGTCAGCACAAGAACTGTTCGTCGGGAGCTTCATGAAATGGGTTTCCATGGCCGAGCAGCTGCACACAAGCCTAAGATCTCCTTGCGCAATGCCAAGCATCGGCTGGAGTATGAAAATGTATGCACTCACTAACTGTAAGTCGCTCTGGATAGGAGCATCTGCTAAATGACTAAAATGTAAAATGTTAATGTGTAAAGCTTGCCGCCATTGGACTCTGGAGCAGTGGAAACCCATTCTCTGGAGTGATGAATCACGCTTCACCATCTGGCAGTCCAACAGACTAATCTGGGTTTGGAGAATGCCAGGAGAACGCTACCTGCCCCAATGCATAGTGCCAACTGTAGAGTTTGGTGGAGGAGGAATAATGGTTTGGGGCTGTTTTTCATGGTTCGTGCTAGGCCCCTTAGTTCCAGTGAAGGGAAATCTTAACCCTACAGCATACAATGACATTCTAGACGATTCTGTTCTTCCAAATCTGTGACAGTTTGGGGAAGGCCCTTCCCTGTTTCAGCATGGAAATGTCCCTTTAATGAGTGCTTGTTTCCTTTGAAATGGCGTCTGTTTGAATAGACTAAAATGAACAGCTTTGTATGAGTAAAAAAAAATGGCTTGCTAGCTCCTTTCTGGTGGCGCAGTGGACTAATTTCAAGGATAGAAAACAGAAGATCATAGGTTTGAATCTCACTGACACCGTGCCATTATAAAAAATACATGTGTATGCAAGATTAATGCCTAAGCAAAATAATTTACATGTGTATTATCTGTGCTTAGAGTTCAAAAGAGTTAACCTAAACTAGCAGTCTTATTGAAACATGTTCTCAGAATGTTATTTCAATACTTTCAAATAACCTATAATTTCCTGCCAGGAAAACCTTCAGGGAACCACATTCTCAGAACCTCACTGCAACCTAAAAATGAACATTTCCAGAACAGGCAAAATGTTCACTTCCATTCTCAGAACGTTTAAAAAATGTTCAGTGATCCCAGAACCAATTGGAAACTAAAAACTTACGTTCCCACTATTTCCAAGGAAGCAAATGTGCTAGCTGGGTTGTTACACATCATCTTTTCTTTGGAATAAATAGAAAAAGGAAGTGAGGAAACACAGTATATGTACACTATGAACTACGTTAATTTATTGTGTGAGTTGCAACAAGGAAGATCTGTATGTAAAAAAACAAAGGATTTGTCAAAAATATACTATTAACGTTTGAAAATGAATTAAACATTCAAAGCAATTAAAATGTATTGATAAACTAAAACCTATACAAAATAAGAAGCATAAACAATAAATCACCTATTCACGCTCTTTTCCTCAGTCACTCCCTTTTTCCCTCACTCCCTCTTTCCTTCCCTCCCTCTGTCACTCACTCACTCACTCCCTATAGAGGCCAACGTGCAGGATACCTGACGAGACTACGTTGGGGAGCGGATAAATCACCTCTAACCTCCGTTCTATTTGCGAACGTGCAATCACTGGAGAATAAACTGGATGAGCTGTGTTCGAGACTATCCAATCAACGTGATCTGAAGAACTGTAATATCATATGTTTCTTCTCGCCTCAGTTAGAATACCTCATGATAAGCAATTTTTTGTAACTGTCTGTTTACCACCACAAACCGATGCTGGCACTAAGACCGCACTCAACGAGTTCTATAGGGCCATGAGCAAACAAGAAAATGCTCACCCAGAGGCGACGCTCCTAATGGCTGGTGACTTTAATGCAGGAAATCTGAAATCCATTTCACATAATTTCTACCAGCATGCCACCTGTGCAACTAGAGGTGAAAAATGTGATTTGATTTGAAAAACTCTAGATCACCTTTACTCCACACACAGAGGCGCTTTCCTTCTCCCGCCATTTGGCAAAACTGACCAAAACTCTATCCTCCTCATTCCTGCTTACAAGCAAAAACTCAATAGGGGAAATACCAGTAATGTGCTCAATACGGAATTGCTAAGCTACTGGACTGTTTCGCTAGCACAGACTTGAACATGTTCCGGGATTCATCCGATGGCATTGAGGAGTTTACCACATCAGTCAACGGCTTCATTAATAAGTGCATTGACGACAACGCCCCCACAGTAACCGTACATACATATCCCAACCAGAAGTAATGTATTACAGGCAACATCCGCACTGAACTAAAGGGACACTAATCCGGACACTTATAAGACATCCCGCTACGCCCTGTGATGAACCATCAAACAGGCAAAGCATCAATATAGGACCAAGATCAAATCCTACTACACCAGTTCTGACGCTCGTCGGATGTGGCAGGGTTTACAAACTATCACGGATTACAAAGGGAAAACCCAGCCGCAAGCTGTCCAGTGACACAAGCCTACCAGATGAGCTAAATACATTCTATGCTCGCTTCGAAGCTAGCAACACTGAACCATGCATGTTCCGGACGACTGACGCTCTCCGTAGCCGATGTGAGGAAGACCTTTAAACAGGTTAACATTCACAAGGCCGCAGGGCCAGGCGGATTACCAGGACGTGTACTCATGCGCTGACATTTTCAACCTCTCCCTGACCCAGTCTGTAATACCTACATGTTTTAAGCAGACCACCATAGTCCCTGTGCCCAAGAACACCAAGGCAACCTCTCTAAATGACTATCGCCCTGTAGAACTAACATCTGTAGCCATGAAATGCTTTGAAAGGCTGGTCATGGCTCACATCAACACCATCATCCCAGACACCCTGGACCCATTCCAATTCGCACACTGCCCCAACAGATCCACAGATGAAGCAATCTCTATTGCACTCCACACTGCCCTTTACCATCTAGACAAAAGGAACACCTACATGAGAGTGCTGTTCATTGACTACAGCTCAGCGTTCAACACTATAGTGCCCTCCAAGCTCATCCCTAAACTAAGGACTGGGATTAAACACCTCCCTCTGCAACTGGATCCTGGACTTCCTGACGGGCCACCCCCAGGTAGTGAGGGTAGGCAACAACACATCTGCACGGGGGCCCCTCAGGCTGTAATGTAACAAAATGTGGAAAAAGTCAAGGGGTCTGAATACTTTCCGAATGCACTGTAAAACGGCAATGACAGCAAAGTGAAAACGTTATCACGTTTCAGGAGAAGACCCAGATGCAGACAGTGTCTAAGTAACAAAAGTATATTGCAGGCAAACGACAGATCAAGGGCAGTGTCACGCCCTGACATAGAGATCTCTAGTTGGTTTGGTCAGGGTGTGAATTTCTATGTGTAGATCTGGAATGTGTATTTCTATGTTGGCCGGGTGTGGTACCCAATCAGAGGCAGCTGTCGATCGTTGTCTCTGATTGGGGATCATACTTAGGCAGCCATGTTGCCTACCTATGTTAAGGGATCTTGTTTCTAATTCTGTTTGGCTTGTTGGATGTTTAGCCTTTTGAACTTCATGTTCTGTTGGATTTTGTTATTTTGCCGGTGTTTATATAATAAACGACTATGTACGCATACCACGCTGTACCTTGGTCCAATCCTTTACTCAACGAATGTGACAGGCAGGCAGATTTCAGTAATCCAGATCAGAGTCTAAAAGGTACAGAATGGCAGGCAGTCTCAGGGTCAGGGCAGGCAGAGGTCAATAATCCAGGGTGGTGTGACAAGGTACAGAACGGCAGGCAGGCTCAGGGTCAGGGCAGGCAGAATGGTCAAAACCGGGAAACTAGAAAACAAGAACTTGAGAAAAACAGGAGCAAGGCGAAAAACGCTGGTAGGCTTGACGAAACAAAACAAACTGGCAACAGACAAACAGAGAACACAGGTATCAATACACTGGGGATAATGGGGAAGATGGGCGACACCTGGAGGGGGTGGAGACAATCACAAAGACAGGTGAAACAGATCAGGGTATGACAAACGGTCAGTTATTCTTTGTTCGTTTTGATTTATTTTTCACGAAAAAACCGCTTGATTTTGGTTATCTCGTTTTTGGCATATGAACAAAAAAAATCAATAGCTTTTTTTATTATTTATTTTTCATTTTTGTCCAAAAATAATTACTAAAAAAACAGAACAATTGTTTGTTTTTTGTTATCTTTTGTTGTTGTTGCATATAATCAAAAACAACTTGACCTTTTTGCTAGACAACTTGATACTGTATTTCGATTTCCACAAGTGGTTGAGGTTAAATGTGGAATGTTTCTCATTGGCCAACACTTCCTGTCCCTTCAAAATTAGAGTTCACCCTTCTAACTTCTTTCCATTAATCTACTATCCATTAATTAATCTATTATTAATCTATTATTAATTCATCTACTGAAACGTTAACGGTAGGCTTGCTACATGCTATCAATGTTAGTAAGGGTTTGTGTGTCTCAATGAAAACCATCATAGACAACCTATAGGCTACTATGTGATGTGTTAACTTGCTAGCTACTTCAATTGAGTGTGTGTTTGTGTGTGTGTGTGTGTGTGTGTGTGTGTGTGTGTGTGTGTGTGTGTGTGTGTGTGTGTGTGTAGGGGCTGCCGAGATGCAGCGGTGTGTATGAAGACTCTCTGTTGACAGTGTCCAAGGGGTTGGCAGAGGGCTGGGAAAGTTCAAGGTGACTGTGGAGAGGACCAGAGTGGGGAACAGCCCTTATACTGCATTCATACAGCCATGGAGCTATCGACAACAGAGATGTGTTTGTGTGTGTGTAGGAGGTGGGGAAGCAGACCATGTCATACCCTCTGTCCTCTCTGAAGGGGTTAGTGTTTGAGGGCTCTAACCTTCTACTCACCCTCTGCTCCCTCTGAGGAAGAATGTCCCGGAAAACATGACCATCCTTTCAAATAAAATCAATTCAAATTGTATTTGTCACATACACGTGTTTAGCAGATGTTATTGCGGGTGTAGCGAAATGCTTGTGCTTCTAGCTCCGACAGTGCAGTAATATCTAACAAGTAATATCTAACAATTTCACAACATATACCCAATACACACGTAAGTAAGGAATGGAATTTAAGAATATATACATATATGGACAAGCAATGACAGAGTGGCATGGACTAAGATACAGTAGAATATTATAGAATACAGTATTTTCATATGAGATGAGTAATGCAAGATATGGAAACATTATTAAAGTGACTAGTGTTCTATTTCTTAAAGTGGCCAGTGATTTTCGTTAGGCAGCAGCTGCCTCTAATGTGCTAGTGATGGCTATTTAACAGTCTGATGGCCTTGAGATAGAAGCTGTTTTTCATTCTCTTGGTCCCAGCTTTGATGCACCTGTACTGACCTCACCTTCAGGATGATAGCGGGGTGAACAGGCAGTGGCTCGGGTGGTTGATGTCCTTGATTATCTTTTTGGCCTTCCTGTGATAACGGGTGCTGTATGTGCCTTGGAGGGCGGGTAGTTTGCCACTGTTAATGCGTTCGGCAGACCGCACCACCCTCTGGAGAGCCCTGCGGTTGTGGGCGGTGCAGTTGCCGTACCAGGCGGTGATGCAGCCTGACAGGATGCTCTCAATTGTGCATCTGTAAAAGTTTTTGAGGGTTTTAGGTGCCAAGCCAAATTTCTTTAGCCTCCTGAGGTTGAAGAGGCTCTGTTGCCCGTTCTTCACCACACTGTCTGCGTGGGTGGACCATTTCAGTTTGTCAGTGATGTGTATGCCAAGGAACCTGAAGCTTTCCACCTTCTCCACTGCGGTCCCGTCGATGTGGATAGGGGGGTGCACCCTCTGCTGTTTCCTGAAGTCCACGATCATCTCCTTTGTTTTGTTGACATTGAGTGAGAGGTTATTTTCCTGGCACCACACTCCCAGAGCCCTCACCTCCTCCCTGTAGGCTGTCTCATCATTGTTGGTAATCAAGCCTACTACTGTTGTCTCCTTTGTGTGTATGTGTTGTGTGTCAGTTGTTTTAGTCTACTCATAAAAGTGTGTTTGTCTTTTTTTTAGGAGATAAGTGTGTTCACTCTTCTATGAAGTTTGTGTGTTCTCAGTTGTGTTTGATTTGACGGTGTATTGACCATGTCGTGTGGTTAATTTATGGTCTATCTGTGGTCAGAGGGAGCTGGGGTGCAGACAGCAGATGGTGGGAGTTGAAGTGGTGGAGGTGTTTGGGGTGGAGAGGACGGTGGACTCTGTGGATGACATCCCAGCTACTTGGCAGTGTTGTTCACAGCTACTTCCTACCTGATGGGTAAGAGGACATCACCTCTACTTAATAGACACCCCCCCCCCCACACACACACATTATTATGAGTGTTCCCCTATTTACATGTTTGTGTGTCAGAGGTGAGGGATGATAAGCCAGTGTTTGAGAAGATGCCTCTGGTGTGGGAAGAGGACATGCAGATCAACTCCAAGTTCCTGGATAGAAAGGTCACGTATTAGTATTTCCCTAAACTTTACCATTTACCCCCTCTCACCCTAGCCACTTACTTTTACTCTTAAACTACAAATATTCCAACATAACCTGACGTGTTACAGAGAAGTTGAAGGCGAAGCATAACACGTACTTGCGGCAACACCTGGAACTCTGCGCCATTATGGGCTACGTCTTACAGTTCCTGTTACTACAAAATCCGAGCAACCTCTTCATGTTCGCCAGCGAGTACTTCCCCCACCGACCCCCGGGGGCCACCTTCAACACCTTCTCACCTTGAGGACACACACTGGGGCTGCGTTTCAATAGTCTAGAAGCTTCCTCTCACAGGCACTTTAGTGAGGACAATACTCTTTTGCTTAGCACTTGTCAATAGTAGGTCCTCGAGATCTACAGTATTTTTGTGAGGCTTTTATTGATGTTTTTTAATTTATTTTGTGATGCTGTTTTTACGGTCTAATGTTTTTGTTTGTATGAGCTGCATTGAAACAAATTCCAATCAACTCTTTTGAAATAGTATCGCAAGAGTTACAATTATGTGAGTTGATGGGAATTAAATAAATAGTATTATTTAATGTCTTGTATATTTTCCATGCTTTATTTCTGTTAAGAACTTTATCTTTGAGTGTGAAAATTCCAGTAACTGCGACTTTGCTTTGTTTCTGATGTAATCATTCCAACATTGGTAAGAATACAGTTATAAATAAGATTATGCTCATGCTTGTCTGACAACAAGTAATGCTTTTGTTTTGATAACTTTGGTGCCCTGATTTCCTACTGCTTGAACCATCACACTTTAACTACATTATGAAGAGTGCCTTGAGAAAGTATTTTTCTACATTTTGTTGTGTTACAGCCTGAATTTAACATGGATTAAATTGAGATTTTCTGTCACTGGCATACACACAATACCCCATAATGTCAAAGGAATGGAATTGTGTTTTTAGAAATGAATACAATATTTAAAGCTGTGTGCAATAATAGTGTTTAACATGATTTTTGAATGACTACCTCATCTCTGTACTCCACATATACAAGTATCTGTAAGGTCCCTCAGTCGAGCAGTGATTTTCAAGCACAGATTCAACCACAAAGACCAGAGAGGTTTTCCAATGCCTTGCAAAGAAGGGCACCTATTGGTAGATGGGTAAAAAATCCCTTTGAGCATGATGAAGTAAATAATTTCACTTTTGATGGTGTATCAATACACCCAGTGACTACAAAGATACAAGCACCCTTTCTAACTCACTTGCCGGAGAGGAAGGAAATCACACAGGGATTTCACTATGAGGCCAGAGTTGAATGGCTTGTGATGGGAGAAAACTGAGGATGTATCAACAACAGTGTAGTTACTCCACAATACTTACCTAATTGACAGAATGAAAAGATGGAAGCTTGTACAGAAGCCACCAGAGTCTTATTTGATTTATGTCTGTTGTTATGGATCTTGATCCGGGCTTTGTTGTAGAGGTCCTGTCTCTCCCTCTTGTATTTTCCAGATGTTTCAGGGAGATCAATCAGAATCATTAACCTATAACCATAACCTTACAGTTCATATAATGATATCAATCAATTGAAAAAACTATAGATTTCACATGAGCGTGGATCAGAAAACCAGTCAGTATCTGGTGTGACCACCATTTGCCTCATGCAGTGTGACACATCTCCTTCACATGGAATTGGACAGGCTGTTAATTGTGGCCTGTGAAATGTTATCCCACTCCTCTTCAATGGCTGTGCAAAGTTGCTAGATATTGGCGGGAACTGGAACACGCTGTCGTACACGTCGAACCAGAGCATCCCAAACATGCTCAATGGGTGACATGTCTAGTGAGTATGCAGGCCAATGAAGAACTGGGACATTTTCAGCTTCCAGAAATTGTGTACAGATCCTTGAGAGATGGGGCTGTGCATTATCATGCTGAAACATGAGATCATGGCGGCGGATGAATGGCACGACAATGGGCCTCAGGATCTTCAAATCAAATCAAATCAAATGTTATTGGCCACATGCGCCGAATACAACAGGTGCAGACATTACAGTGAAATGCTTACTTACAGCCCTTAACCAACAGTGCATTTATTTTTAATAAAAAGTAAAATAAAACAACAACAAAAAAGTGTTGAGAAAAAAAGAGGAGAAGTAAAATAAAATAACAGTAGGGAGGCTATATATACAGGGGGGTACCGGTGCAGAGTCAATGTGCGGGGGCACCGGCTAGTTGAGGTAGTTGAAGTAATATGTACATGTGGGTAGAGTTAAAGTGACTATGCATTAATTAACAGAATCTTGTGACGGTATCTCTGTGCATTCAAATTGCCATCGATAAAATGCAATTGTGTTCATTGTTCGCAGCTTATGCCTGCCCATACCATAACCACACCTCCACCATGGGGCACTCTTTTCACAACGTTGACGTCAACTTCTGGTCTCAGACGATCCTGCAGCTAAAGAAGCCAGATGTGGAGGTCCTGGGCTGGGGTGGTTACACGTGGTCGGCAGTTGTGAGGCCGGTTGGACGTACTGCCAAATTCTCTAAAACGACGTTGGAGGTGGCTAATGGCAGCAAAAATTTATATTCAATTCTCTGACAACAGCTCTGGTGGACATTCCTGAAGTCAGTATGCCAATTGCACGCTCCCTCAAAACTTGAGACATCTGTGACATTGTGTTGTGTGATAAAATTGCATATTTTAGAGTGTATTTTTATTGTCCCCAGCACAAGGTGCACCTGTGTAATGATCATCAAGGCTAGAGAAAAGTATCGACAAATATTACAACAACAAGCAACACTCAAACATGATGGAGGAGGAGAATCAATCTTCAAGAAAAAATCGACTCCTCGACTGATACAGATGATTTATGCTTTCACCACTGGGACTGGTAAGTATGGAAAGCGATCTGTTGAAGTCGATAAATGACAAACTATGCATACTAGAGTTGGTCAGTAATGATGTAAAAGAGTTGAAGGCGAGTCTTGAAATGAGTGACGAAAAAGCTGCGATACTGGAGAACGATACAAAAAAACTAAAAGGGACAGTCACTAAGATAGAAACTTAAAAAGGAGAACAACTTTCTAAGAGAAGCCTTACTAGACATACAAATTAGATCGATGAGAGAAAATCTAGTACTTACAGGTATCCAAGAAAAAGAAGGAGAGGTTACTGAAAAAATTGTGAAGGACTTCTTTCTTACAGCGCTTCAAATCCCACTCGAGGCTGTCAATAAAATCCAACTCGAACGTGTACACCGTTTTGGACAAAGAGGACAGAGATATGAGCGTCCAATCGTTGCCAAATTTGCGTTCTTTAAGAATAAACTAATGTTTAAAAGCCTAGGTAAAAGACTAGCTGGCACGAAAATAGCATGAATGATCAGTTCCCGAGGGAGATTTCAGAACAGCGCAAAGTTCTGTACCCAATCTTCAAGGAAAATAGATAAAAAGGGAAGCGTGTTGTTCTCGTTGTCGATAAACTGTATATTGACAACTAAATGTTCCGCGACACAAAGACTACTCCATGGCTATTCTGAAAGTTCTAATAGAGGAGTCGAATAATGGAACACCCAATACTAGCCATGGTAGGGATTGTAATAATAAAGCACATTTATAGTATTTATAGTATTTTATAAAGGGATAAGACGGTGTTACAAGAAATAATACATCTTCAAATACAACTAATTAGAACACAAGAACTCAATCAACATAGTGAAGATAAAAACATAGCAAACAGAAGACATAGAAGGCACAGTATGTGGGTATGTGTGGATGTATTGTGATGGGAAGGTGTGTTGTGCGTTTTTGTGTTTGAATAAGTGTGGCGTTAAGTGAGTGAGAAAGGAAATGGTGTGTCTGTGAGCAGGGGTTGTGAGAGAGAGCTTTCAATTTTGTGCAGATGAGGGATATACATTTTAAAATAAAGTATACATCTAATCTATTTTTTTATTGTCCTATCATGATGGAACGATCTCCAACCCTATATCCTAGACACCCACCTGAGCGACACATACACCAAAGAGAAGTCCCCATTTGTTTTATGGCCATGCTGTGAGTTGCCTATATGCAGCCAAAACAGAAAAATACATGCGGTCAGAGACCTACTTGAGCAGCACCACCCCCTCAAGATTCTGTGCCTGCCTGGCAGGGTTGGTCCCCTGATGGGAGAGCATAATATACAAGGACATTCTCAAAGCTGCTAATGAGAACCTTGACGACATTGTACCTAGCTGGTGGGGTTTCCGGTGGGGTACCCCCACCCAGGTAGTGGCAGTGCTGGCAACACTGGCTGCAGTATCCCATGGGGAGGTGGTCACACTGGGACAATCAGAGAGGGGACATATTGTGGCCCTGGTGGCACAAAATAATCAAAGGTCTGACTGCACGGAGATGCTTGGGAAAAATGGTTACAACTGGGACCAGAGTGTTTGTGTCTCAGGGGAAGGGGTGGATCTGATCTCCATCACCTAGGACTTGACATAGATCAATCAAATCTCACGTTGTTGTCCATTTTTGCTCAATCTTGCATCCTTTCTCAAACAGCTGTAACTGTATATGCATTCGTAAATCAGGTCCTTTCTTGAGTTGGGCTCTGGGATGTAACAACCGTTGAGCATCTGATCTTATGGTTGATTGTGGAGGAAAGGGGTTGAGTGTGTTAGAGTATGTGCGTGTGTGTGTGTGTTTATCCCACATCTGTTGCAAGGGGGTAAGGACGTTAGGGAGAATATAGGATGAACCACAATAATTGTTTGCTAAAATAATAATCGCTTGACAAAAATGTAATGTAATACAATTACAATCCGGGTTATATATAACAATCCTACGCATGAACTGCCGACATTATTACGCATATTAATTGATAATGATGGAAATTATGATATGCAAGATATCTGAATAGATATATATTTTTTAAAAGCTATTTATATATTGAGGTGAGAGCATTGGAAATGCTTTTGGCGGTTGACCTGCTTCTGTTTTGTGGAAGGCACTGTGTGCTGTTTCGAAGGATGGGTCCTGGCCACTCAGGGTTTAGGGATCCGGGGGGACGGGGGTGGTATGCCGATCACTGGGATGACGGCCCAATTTGGGATGGGGAGGGGCTTTAGTAGGGGGAATAGTGGAGAACAATTGGAGGGTTACTTAGTAGCAATGCAAATATCATGGTACAGCTATATGGACACTCAATCACTATGGTATTTTTTATTGGTAAATTTACAAACATATATAATGATTAATAGATTTGAAACTTGTATCTCATTATGGTATGTGGTGAAATAAGTAT